AAACATAGCCGCTGGAAAGAGGAAGAAATTCTGCTTAGGACACTGCTAAAAGATTTCGTTCAGCTTCATTGTAAAGGATTTACGGCTGGTCCAAATAACGGGAAGAACTTTTGCAACGGACTAATACAAGGCATAGAATTCGCGTTTTTGCTTTCTTCGAAACTGTTAGTGATCCTCATATTTTTGAAAAGAGGGCTTTTTGATTTCTGTAAAGTGTCTTTTGTAGAGTTTGGTTTTTACATATTATAATACGTTGAGCTTATGTTTCTCAGTGGTTAGTTTGTAGCAGCAAGGCAAATATCGGGCCGGTAATTTTGGCGCACCCTGTAGAATCAGAAGCGCTTGATCGTTTGGACAAAATGCTCGCGCAAATATGGATGGCTCTAAAACTAGGATGTCTTCAACATTTATGTATGGATACTCGTTCGATGAATAAAAACACAACACATTACTCAACAAAGGCATCGATTTACTATAACTCTGTAATAAAAGTCTACCTACAGTGCGACCACCAATGTCATGACGAAGTAGCACGATCCAGCAATGAGCAAAAGGAGTACGGAATGAATCAGGTAAAAATATGCAGATGGGTTTTTGTTTTTCAGAGGGATGATCATGCTTAATGAACTTCCTGGATGGCACTATGAAACGCTGTAAAAGTAGCTTCGACAATTGTTCACAATATCATAGATCTCTATCAATCATTATACTGTGTTATGCCTGGGAACAAATTGTTGAACAACATGCTAGACTCTATGAATCATGGGCATAGAATTGTTTACTGCAGGTTTTTTCTTCGCCCGATCTATCGCGCTACGAAAAAGAACTTGGAATGTTGTGCTCCTTCCAGACGTGCTACCTTCAATGCATGATCCCCATCGTCGACGAGGTATGTACGAGCACACTGATTACCTTCTCTCTTACCAATGACTTCTTAGGTATGTGCGCCTGACATGAGTCACAAAACTGTGGATTTGGTGCGATCCTTCATTCAATGGCATGCCACTGACATATCAGATTGGCATGCCGTTGCGGGACGATTTGAAGAATTACCAGACAGTTGTCGACAACTCGCCAGCTCACCACCTGATCCAGCATTGCAACTAATCAATCGAGACTGACCTCATAATTTGATGCTTTAGAGTAATAATAAATATATAGGTATACCAGTACTGTCAATGCATCTACTATAAGGACATCTCTGTTGAGTTCAGTCCTATTCTCATTTATCTACCTTATTCGAATCTTACGGTTCATCTTTTGATTCATGAAAAACTAACGCGATTATTATATTAAGATATTATAGGAGAATAGATGGTTTTTCCATCAGTCTGCATTGACTATGACATTTTGTTCTAGC